TGCTGATTAAAAACAAACAAACAAACAAACAAAAAAAACAGACCAAAGACCTTAAAACCCCAAAACTGTATAAAACATTCAGTATTAAAGCAGGAATAATTAATATACCAAATGAAAGTCAAGGCACTAATCTGAATGATACAGTTTACGGAAAACTCTATATATATCCATAACTGGTACTGATATGGAAAACAAAGGCAAAAGAAATGTAGCTTAAACTAAAATCTCCTTTCAGCTTGCAGCCCATTGATAGACACCTGAAACATGCAGAGCGTGACCTTCCTCAAGGAACCCGTGGCCGCCTTAGTGCCTTCAAGTTTAAAAGGAACCTTATCTTGGCAGCATCTGGCCCTCACGGTCCTGAAAGCCTTGCTTCCAGATTCCTTGGAGATTGGCGCTATCCCTAACCCCCATTAATTAAAAAGTATACAATCAGTCACTCCTCACAATCCCAATATAGCTCTCTCTGCCCACAGGTCCCGTCTCACGAATAGGGAAGGCGTGAAGGTCTAGGCAGGAGAGACAGGAGGCCCCTGACTAGGCTCCGGAACTATTCCTGGCAGGAGACGCTGAGACAGAGAAGAACAAGAGGTAAGGGAACAAACCAAGGTTGCAGAAGAATCTCAAGGCCACAAGCTTTCCAGTCAGTTCTCAATAGAAGACTGCCAGTGAAAGCCCATGGTGACAACCCATTCAGGACCCCTCTCACTCTGGAGAGTTTTTTTCTTTCCTTTCTGCTCTCACCTTCACTTAATAAACTTTCACTTGACTTCACCCTTTTGTGTCACAAGATTCATTCTTCGACTCCGTGAGACAAGAACCCTGCGATCCTGCAACAGTACCACTAATTAAATTGTGCTTGGTTTAGTTCCTATATGCATATCTACAAATAAATCTGTTTTAAAGAGATAGACGTTGATCGTAATACATAAGTTTAATCACAGAAAGATTCATAGCATTCACAGTATATTGTTGTCTAAAGAATTCTGAGTTTAGGATTGTTCCATTCAACAGAACATAAATGTGAAAATAAACACAAATACATAAACATAAAGTTTTTAAACTGATCCGTCAGTTTTTCTTCCTGGAGATACAGAGACCCTAAATAGCCCTGTCAATGACATAACAAACATACTGGATAAAATATTAAAAAGATCTGTTAAAATACATAACTGAAGAATTTCCAGAGACTAAAAAATAAATAAAAGTAGAGGTCCTATGAAGGCCTTTGTCCTGAGGGTTTCTGCTAAACCCCATAAAAGGTAAAGTTCTACTCTGATGGCTGCAGGAGGTCTGCAGGAAATAAGGCTGGGGGGGGGGGGGGGGGGGCAGAATGGAGCAGGAAGGAAACCAAAATATGCCTGTCACCCAAAATATGCCTCTCTGACATAAAAATTATTTTGAGGTGAAGGCAATTAAGAAGCCGCAAATGCAGGAAAAGCTCTCTCAACCCTCCCCCTCCCTACCTAAAGGCAGGATGTAAATTCTCCTTTTACCGGAGACAGACTCTTAGCCCAGAGATGGCACCAGAGGAATCTGTAAACAAACCTTACTCCATTAGTTCCCTCCCACATAAGTAACCTTCCCTGGGATGCCCTGGGCTCCCCAAATAGCCTCCTTTTGTCCCGTCACTTCTCTACAAATGTATTGTTCTTTGTTGCAGATGCTAAGTAAGCCATTCTAAGCCACCAGGCTGAGTTACTTTTCACTGAGGTTTCTCCCACATGAAGTGCGCCGTACGTGTTAATAAACTTGCTCATCTGTCTTTTTGCTACATGTCCCAGCTGAAAACCTAAGATGGGTAGAGGTAAAGTTTTGCCTTCCCTTGCAAGAGGACAAGAGGAGAGAACCCATGCAAAGCTAGAACAACAGAGGCAGTAAAGAGGGGAACCAGAAATAAAGTGACCACATGGAACAGAGACCAGAGAAATGTGCCGGTCTAAAGTTTGGATTGATGGTGCAGCCAAGATTCCCTCCAAGAATTCAAAATCATAAACCAGTTCAGAATGATGCTATCTGTATCATCAAAAAAAATCTTCAATTAGAGAGTTTAAATAAAAATTGTCCCAGTTCTCCAGGAAATGGGCAAAACTAAATGCAAATCTTCTCTCAAGATTCTTAAATTCAAACCAAGCCCCAAACCCTGCCACAAAAGTAGATCCAAATAAACAGATTACAGTTTTGAAAAATTAAACACAAAAAGAAACACAACATCTCAAGTGAAATCCAAAAGAAACAAGAGAAAGTAGAATCAGACAAATTTTAGATATTAGATCAAATACAGGGAAAAAAAGGTTTATTGTATTTGAAAAAAAATAATAAAGGGGGCTTGAAATTCTAAGAAACAAGAGACTTTAAAAAATAAAATGGGGAGGGGCGCCTGGGTGGCTCAGTCATTAAGCGTCTGGATGGCCCATGTCATGATCCCAGGGTCCTGGGATCGAGCCCCGCACTGGGCTTCCTGCTCAGCGGGCAGCCTGCTTCTCCCTCCCCCACTCCCCCTGCTTGTGTTCCCTCTCTCTGTCTCTCTCTCTCTGTCAAATAAATAAATTAAATCTTTTTAAAAAAGATAAAAAAATAATAATAAAATAAAATAGGGAAGGTGAAATGTGTGAAGGTGGTTAAAGGCACAAACTTCCAGTTATAAAATAAGCCAGATATGGGGATATAATGTACAACATGGAGACTATGGCTAATAATGCTGTATTTTATAGTTGAAAGTTGTAAAGTAAGTAAAGCTTGACAGTCCTCATCACAAGAAAAAAAATCTGTAACTACATGTGGTGACAGGTGTGAGCTACACCCATTGTGGTGGTCATTTTGCAATGTATACAACAGCAAATCATTATTATGTTACATATCTGAAACTAATGTTATGTTATATGCCAACCATACCTCAAGTTTAAAAAAAAATTTTAAGATTTGAAAAAGAACTAGGTATTTTTGGAATGAAAAACATGACTGAATTTTTTTTTTAAACTGAAATTCAGTGGACAATTTTCTTTAAAAAAAAAAAAGCAAACTAAACACAGTAGAAGAGAAAATTAACAACCTGGAAAGTATATCCTTTGTTAGTTTTTTTTTTTTTTTTAAAGATTTTATTTATTTATTTGAGAGAGAGAATGAGATAGAGAGAACATGAGAGGGGGTAGGGTCAAAGGGAGAAGCAGACTCCCTGCTGAACAGGGAGCCTGATGCGGGACTCGATCCCGGGACTCCAGGATCATGACCTGAGCCGAAGGCAGTCGCTTAACCAACTGAGCCACCCAGGCGCCCCCTTTGTTAGTTTTTAACTGTCTGACCAATTCCTGAGGAAGTGTGTTGAGTCTCACCAGGAACAGAAAAGAAAAAAAAAAAAACAACACACACCGTTCATTTAAAGCTGTTTTTTTCCACAGGGACAGGCTCTCTGCAAATGCACAGAATTCAGGGAGTAAGAATAAAAGCTAACATTTACTGAGTCCTTACTCTGTGTCAGACAAGGGGCGAGGCATATAACAAATATGTCTCTTTTTATCTTCACAGTGACCCTATGGGATTGGTACAAATACGGAAAGACAAAGGTCTACACTGGACTCAGTAAGTGGTCCTAAATGCCTTGTTCAAGGTCACAGAACCAGCATGTATAGAAACCAACACCTGTCAACTCCCAAGTGTGCCTGACTCATAACCACCTTAATATTCCTGCTACAGGTCAACAGGCTATATCCTACTCTCTGTTCAGTCCTTCACCTTGGTAAACCATGTACCCTCTTTAACCAGACTGGTTAAGTTCCTCAGAGCCCTCTTCTCTACTAGGCCTCCACCTCAGGCTTCTGTGTCCATCCTTGGTTAGTCCAGTTTTAGCAAGAATCCTGCTAAGCCAGTTTAAGGAGACTCTGTCACCCTTAATACATGATCAGTTTCCTCATGTCCCACTCTTGATGTCTAAGCCTGTAGCCTGCCATTGGCCTGCCTACCATAAGAATCCTCTCAGACCAGGGGCGCCTGGGTGGCTCAGTCGTTAAGCGTCTGCCTTCGGCTCAGGTCATGATCCCAGGGTCCTGGGATCGAGCCCCGCATCGGGCTCCCTGCTCTGCGGGAAGCCTGCTTCTCCCTCTCCCACTCCCCCTGCTTGTGTTCCCTCTCTCGCTGTGTCTCTCTCTGTCAAATAAATAAATAAAATCTTTAAAAAAAAAAAAAAAAGAATCCTCTCAGACCAGTTAGCAAGGATCGCCCTAACCCCCCTTCATGCCCCCTTATAGTAACCTCCCATCCACTCACTTTGCTAATTGGCTATAAATCCCAGTAGTCTTTGTTGTACTCAGGGTTGAATCCCATCTCTGCTCCCATTATAATAATCCACTACAACAGTCTTGAATAAAGCCTCCATTACCATTTTAACAAGTGTCAAATAATTTTTTTCCTTAACTATATTATAATTTTCTAATCAGTAAAGTCAAAGGCTATGATGAAATGTGAAAGATAGAAATTGTCAAATATAACAAGCATATAACTAAAACAGTCCTGAAGATCAATTCCATTACTCTCTGTTACAGCCAAGACTATTCTGTAATAGAACTCTGTCACTTTCAAAGACCATTGTCCTGTTGTTAGATGTTACTATGCAGACCTACCATCAGATATTCTAAAATCCTGGCATTCCTTTTTAGGAAGAGGAACTGCAAATTCCATGTTGCTTCCTGAAAGAGTTTTACCAGCACACACACACACACACACCATAGGCCCAAACAATACAAGCAAGGCATTAAAGTAGTGTTTAGGACATACTTTAAAATTCTAAAAGTTCTACATGCAAAGATGAGAAGAGCTAAAAATATTCACCCATGTTATGAGAAGTACCTTACAGATTTCTATTAAGATTTCCCCCTTGGATAAAGACATATAAAAATAATAGACTGTGTTTAAGATTTGCATAATGTCCCATGAACCAAATCAGCCAATCTTTGAGACAGATCCTAAGGCGTGTGTGTGTAAAAATCTTCTATATGCTTACTTACCAGTTTCTCCAGCTGTTTTGTTCTTCCCATGAGGCTTATATAGAACATATGAGCATCCTTTTACGTGGAAGTGGTCATTAATTTGTCGAAACCATCTGAAAATGACAAGAAAGTCTGCTCATAGCAACAATTCCATAGCACAGATGGCACTATTCCCATTCCAGCAAAATTCGGGCAGCACCCAAGTTTGGTGTATCTACCAAAGGCTGGGGCCCAGCAGCTGGAAACATGGTTTTACTATCAACACACATCTACAGCACTGTTATTTCGCAGAACTAGAAATAAAGTATTGTCTGTAAGCGAGGACTTCATACCTCATAAGTGTTGTATTTCCAGTGAAAGGACCGAACCTAATATCTTCAAATGGGGGTTGAAAGCCCAAAATACGTAAAGCTTCTTCTTGGGTAATAGGTGGAAGACTACAAAAGAAACATTACCTTTCATTTTACCATTCCAATCATATGCAAATATAACCTGCCTCAATGTTCATATGTCTGTCTGATTTGCAAACAATTTTAGTAATACAGTTGACCCTTGAACAACATGGGTTTAAACCACACAGGTCCACTTATACACAGATAATTTTTTTTTATAAATACAATGCAGTACTTTAAATGCATTCTCTTCCTTATGACACTCTTAACATTTTTTCTCTAGCTTACTTTATTGTAAGAATACAGTATATAATACATACAACACACAAGGTATGTATTTATCTACTGTTTATGTTATTGGTAAGGCTTGTGGTCAACAGTAGGCCATGAGTCATTAAGTTTTTGGGGAGTCAAAAGTTATATGTGGATTTGAGACAGCCCTAACCCCTGTGTTTTTCAAGGGTCAACTATATTCTTAATAGTTATTTTGTCACAAATAATGCATGCTTATTATTTTTAGCTAAAGGCTTATAACAAAATGCAGCAATTTTTTTCTTGATGTATGAAAAACTTATTCTTAAAACTTCAATTACAGAAAAAGTGTATTGCTTTTTACTAAAAAACTTCTGAATTTGGAATTTAGGGATACCAATAAATTAATAAATACTTACTTTCCAGCTCCCATTGTGCTATATAAAAAATTCCAACACGAAATTAATGAGGAGATACCACAAGAAGTCTTATATTGTGGTCGGCTTATGCAGTACCTAAGAAAACAAAAGACTGTTTTCTTCACTTGAATGAATACAAAATGTGGATACAGAAATATAATATTCATGGCAACTAAATGTGTTAGCATAATGAAAACTTTACTCATATAAGCCAATGTAAAATCTTTACTCAAAATATTTTTATATTTATTAAGTATATTGTAAATGCATAACAACAATAAACCATCCAGTTTAATAAAGTTAGCTAAGTTTAACTAACCACAGATGTTATCTAAACCAATGGAAAAGAAATAACAATATATAAATGTAGGCACCAACTACTAAAATTTCAGTGTAAGCTCCTAATTGAGCTGCATACATGATTATTTGCAACTTCAAAAATACTGGAGAAACGAAACAAAGCACTGTCCCCATGTATCAGCTTTTCAGATTCTTCAACTCAGACTAAAAAACAATTTATCACTGACTATGTCCAACTAAAAACCCTTGGGTGAGAAGCAATGGTTCCATTGTCCCAGAGAATTTTAAAGTGTAACACAAAATCCTTCCATGGCACAATTTCACTGCACTGAGTAATCAAGACAATTTTCCAAATTGTCACGTGTCAAGAGAAGTGACTGCAGCTAATGTGAAGAGAGGAGAAAAGAAGCAGACTATTCAATCAGAAAAAAAGAAATAGTATTGGCTTTCAAATGACCTTTTCCCAACTGCTTTTTTTTTTTTTTTAGATTTTATTTTTTTTAAGGAATCTCTACACCAAATGCGGGGCTCAAACTCACAACCCCAAGATGAAGAGTCACACACTCTATGGACTAAGCCAGCCAGGTGCACCTCCCAACTGCTTTCTAATGAAGGTGCTCACAGTGGCCAAAACAAAAAGGAGAAATAAGACTTAGCACTAAACACAGTTTTAGTCTTACCTTAAAATTAATTACAAAAAGAGAAATTACAGGTACATGTATGTATATTCGTATATGTCCATATAATATGCATAATGGTGCCTCTACAAATCAACAGGCTGAACTAGAACCTTTAAGACTAAGATACAAAAGATGCTTATGGTCGCTTAACTATATGGTTATTATGTAGCCACATAATACACGAATTGTTATGGACTGAACTACACCTCCCTAAAAAGAGTTGAAGTCCTAACCACAGGTGCCTATGAATACAACCTTACTTGGAAACAGGGTCTTTGCAGATGGAATTGCGTTAAGAGGAGGTCACACTGGAGTAGGGGTGGGCCCTTAATCCAAGATGACCAGTGTCCTTATAAAAAGAGAAGAAGGACACACAGAGAGGAGAATGCCTGCCGGACGAAGACCCAGACACATGGTGGGGGGAAACACAGATGGAGGCAGAAGCGTCGAAGCAGCAAGCCTAGGAATGCCAAGGGCTGCCAACAAAGCACTGGGAGTTAGAATGAAGCAAAAAATTTTATCCCACGGCTTTCAAAGGGAATGTGGCCTTGCCAACACCTTGACTTCAGACTTCCAACCTCCAGAACTATGAGACGGTTTCTGTTGTTTTAAGCCACCCGGTTTATGGCACTTTGTTATGGTAGCCCTAGGAAACTCACACACTAATCATCCTCCAGGAAAGACTACAAACTGGTTTACATCCACAAAAGAAAAAACCAATGAACACATTAAGAATGATTTTGTTTATATCTATTTGCAAGGCTGTTTAAAAACGAACTCCTACCCACAGAAATGATCCTGGCCTGAGAGTGTTGGCATTATCGAGCTCTCATTTCAAACTCAGAAGCTAACTTCCCTAAGCTCAGGTATTCATAGCTCCACCAACATTCTGTTCTGCGACTAAATTTCCTATAAATGGACTTAGCGGTCAACATGACTTGTTTCCTACTGCTTTCCGTTCCTTTCTTTACCCCCAATATCTTGGGTGGTTTACATTCCTTGTTGAATGGCTAAGAGCTCATGGGTTTTGTTGGCACTGAATTCTCACATGATTTGGAGTCTGTTGCTTCCACACTTGAATGACAATGTGAATGTGACATCTGGGTGACTTTTTCTCTCCTGAGAAACATGACTCCCCTGTAGCCTGGCAGCCAGTGCTGCCATGGTGAAGACCAAGACCAAAGGGATAATTTCCCTTTGTATAACTGTTTTTGCACCTGGGTGCCCAGGACTCCTTATGCTTGAATTTCAGTAACTCCGCTAGAACATGCCTTGGTGCTCATCAATCTGTACTGACTTTCCTTTCCTGGGACACAATTTACCCTTTCAAATCTGCAGACTCTAGCCTTTCCTCATTTGGGGAATATTCCTTCCAGCTGTGTCTTCAAATTATTTTTTTTTTTTCTATTTGCTCTCATCTCTTCCTCAAGAATACCAGTTAGTACTATTTGGAGCCTCTGTCTGTTATCCGTATTTATCTGTTCTTTTTTTTTTTTTTTTGAGATTTTATTTTTAAATAAACTCAAACTCAAAACCTCAGGATCAAGGGTCACACACTCCACCAACTGAGCCAGCCAGGAGCCCCAATATTTATCTGTTCTTTCATCATTTTTATGTCTTTGTTATTTTCCATGTGAGTTTTGTGCGATTGCCTCACACTGGCTCACCATTGACTTGATTATGTTTTTCATTGGGTTGGGTTTTTTTTTTCCTTGCTTCAAATGTGGTTTTCACCTCTACAATGACTTTTTTTTTTTCTCCACTTCTTTCCAAGGGCCTGTCAGTTATTTCCTTCTGTTGTCACACAATCTCTTCTTTGACTTCATTTTGAGAAATGTGTAAATTACAACTTTTTTGATAAGTAGGGCTTATTCTGAATTTTAACTTTACTTCCTAGACTAACTCTCCCAAAGATGTATAAACCTCCTGCAGTTGTCCCTGTTTTTGCTTATTTGCAACTTTTATATACATGTATCAAGTTGCTTCCTCTATGATTTTACTCATCCTTGAATAGAGCCGATTATCACTGAAGAGTTGTCTGCTATCTTCGACTCTCCACTGTCAAATCTGCCCCCCATTTTTGTTTGTTTTTTTTATAATTTTGGTAGAAACACAACATAAAATTTACCATCTTAACCATTTTTAAGGGTACAGTTGAGTAATGTTAGCTATATTCATATTGTTGTGAAAGAGATCTCTAGAACTTTTTCATCTTGCAAGACTGAAACTCTACACCCACTGGACAACACCCTTTTCCCCCTCTCCTCAGCCTCTGACAACCACCACTCTACTTTCTGTTTTTATGAGTTTGACTACTTTACACATCATATAAATGGAATCTACAGTATTTATCTTTTCGTCACTGGCAACCACCATTCTATGTTCTGTCTCTATGATTTTGACCACTCTTAAGTATCAAGTGAATCACATATTATTGGTCTTTTTGTGTCGGCTTATTTCATCAAGCATATGTCCTTCCTCAAAGTTCATCTATGTTGTAGCATGCGTCAGAATTCCTTCTATTTTAAGGCAGAATAATATTCCATTCTAGGTACATAGCACATTTTCTTTATTCCTTTATCAATGAACACTTGGGCTGCTTCCCCCTCTCAGCTATTGTGAATAATGCTGCAATGAACATAGTATGCAAATATCTCTTCACGATCCTGCTTTCAATTCTTTTGGATATATACCCAGAATTGGGATTACTGGACCATATGGTGCCTATAGCTCAGGCAGCTATAACAAATTGCAATGGACCTGGTAGCTTCGACAACAAACATTTATTTCTCACAGTTCTGGAGGCTGAGAAGTCCAAGATCGAGATGCCAGCAAATCCAATGTCTGGTGAGAAGCTGCCTCCTGTTTAGCATATGACCACCCTCTCCTTATATCCTCACATCATGGAGCAGAGACAGAGAGGAGGAAGCAAGCTCCCTCTTTCTGTCTCTTCTTATAAGGCACTAATCCCATTCACAGGGGCTCCACCCTCATGACCTAATTACCTCCCAAAGGCCCCACCTCCTAATTCCATCACCTTGGGGGGGTTAGGATTTCAATATATGAATTGAGGGGAGACACAAACATTCGGCCCATAACATACATACTATTTTTTTTTTTTTAAAGATTTTATTTATTTATTTGACAGAGACAGAGACAGTGAGAGCAGGAACACAAGCAGGGGGAGTGGGAGAGGGAGAAGCAGGCTTCCCGCTGAGCCGGGAGCCCGATGTGGGACTCGATCCCAGGACCCTGGGATCATGACCTGAGCCGAAGGCAGTCGCTTAACCAACTGAGCCACCCAGGCGCCCACATACATACTATTTTTAATTTTTTGAGAAACTGCCATACTTTTCCATAGGTGCTGTACCATTTTATAATTTTATATTCCTACCAACAGTGCATAAAAGTTCCAATTTCTCCACATCCTTGCCAATAATTATTATTTTCTGCATTTTTGATAGTGGCCATCCTAATGGGTGTGAGGTAATATCACACTGCAATTTTGATTTGCATTTCTCTGATGATTAATGATGTTGAACATCTTTTTGTATGCTTGTTGGCCATTTGCATATTCTTCGGAGAAATGTCAATTCAAGTCCTTTGCCCATTTTTTAATCAGGTTCTTTGATATTTTTTGTTGTTGCTGAATTGTAGGAGTTTTTACAGATTCTGGATATTAACCCCTTATCAGATATATGATCTGCAAATATTTTCTCCCATTCTGGAGGATGCCTTTTCATTGTGTTGATTGTTTCCTTTGATGCACAGAAGTTTTAAGGCTTGGCATAATTCCATTTGTCTATTTTTACTTTTATTACCTGTGTTTTTGGTGTTATATCTCAGATGTCGTTGTCAAATCCAATGTCATGAAATTTCTCCCTATGTTCTCTTCTAGGAGCTTTATAGTTTTAGATCTTTATATTTATATCTTTAATCTATTTTGAGTTCATTTTTGTGTATGGTGAAAAGTAAGGGTCAAGTTCATGCTTTTGCAGGAGGATAGCCACTTTTCCCAGCACCATTTGCTGAAGACACTGTCCTTCCTCTGTTCTGTGGTCTTGGCACCCATACTGAAGATTGTTTGCCTATTTACATGAGTGTTTATTTCTGGGCTTTCTATTCTGACCGCTTTGTCTACAAATCTGTCTTAATGCCAGGACCACACTGTTTTGATTATGCGGCTCTGTAATGTTTTGAAATCAGGAAATGTGAGGCCTGTGTTTCACTCTTGCCATCACCAACTTTCCCAGCAATTCACTAGAGGCACTGTCCTTGGCTGGAAATGAAGGGGTAAGATAATCGAGTGGCAATCAGATCAGCGGGAGGTCTCCTTCCACAGCCCCTACCTGCATTTCTGTAGCGCTGAACTGGATCTCCACCAAGAACTCCAATGTTTCTCCACTGATGCAGCTGCTCCACACCCCTGGATCTAACCAGAGGGTCACCAGATGGTTTTAGGACTGCCACACGAACATTAGGGAAACCTGCGCTGTTTGAGGCCCACCATAGTCTGTGTAGCCCTTAGTGTCCTCTCTCTGTTGGTCCAGAGTGCACAGGATTTGATAAACTTGAATGAAAACCTATGGCTTGGGGATGTTGCTATTTCTTTGTTTCAGGGAAGATAGAGTTTTTCCCTTTTTTTTTTTTTTTAAACTTTGCTATTGTTTCCATGGGTTTGAGGTGTAGGTGCCAAGGGCAGGTCACCCCAAGATGGACAGCTTTGGCACGAACATTATTTTGAGTTAAAAGCAACCCAAACCCAGCAGATTCAGAAAAAGCTCTCTACCCGCCCCCCCCACCAACTGCCTGCTTTTTAAGAGGAAGAGAGCTATTGACAGAGACTCCCCTTTACCTAAGAAACTGATCTGCATAATAGGGCAAACTTTGTTTTTCAAAACATCTCCTTTCACCTTCCTGCTAATGGCCTTCCTCCCCTTTGTATCCTCAGACTCCTACCCCTCTCCTTAGCTCACTAAGCTTCATGTTACCACATTGTCTTTGGAATTTCCATGTCTGTGTGGATTCCCTATACATACATTATTAAATTTGATTTTCTCCTGTTAATCTGTCTCATGTCAATTTGATTCTAAGTCCAGCTAGAAGAACCTTGAAGGGCAGAGGAAGGTCTACCTCTCCAACAGAGAGAAGGAATAAGTAAAAAGACTTATTCTGTCATATTTAAATCTCTCCCTTCCATCTTGAACACTTCTTCACAAAGCCTTAGGATCAATCCTAGGCACCCTTAAGATTTTCCCTATTTCTTCATCCATCCAAACTTGTTTTACTGGTCTTGCTCGTGACTGGCCTACAACTTTAATTGACTTTCTACTATTTCCTATGGGTGTTTCCACTGCAACCCTAATCTTGTAATATTCTCAGTGGGAAATGAGCTTGTCATCCTGGTAATTTTTCCCCTCAGGTTATTTCTCCCATCTATCCTCTTCATCCAAGCCTTTATGGCTTTACATGTTGTACTATTAAAACACAATTATCCAAATTTGTTTTTAAAACATATCTTAAACCTAAGGGATTAGAAGCAAAAATGGGCAAAGCCTTTCTCCAAAGAAACTAACATTACTGTTTTGGATTATAGTGTCTTTCTCCAACACACTCTACATACTTATTACTACCAGTTTATCTTTGTAAAATGCTCTTTTGTTAAGAAATCATCAATGGGGTGCCTGGGTGGCTCAGTCGGTTGAGCGACTGCCTTCGGCTCAGGTCATGATCCCGGAGTCCTGGGATCGAGCCCCACATCGGGTTCCTGGCTCGGCGGGGAGCCTGTTTCTCCCTCTGACCTTCCCCCCTCTCATGCTGTTTCTCTCTCGCTCGCTCTCTAATAAATAAATAA